AAAATCCATATTTGATTCTGAAGAGCTGTATTAATGTAATTTTAAACGGAGATACTGTATCTCCATATGATCAAGCCAGGTCAACCAGCAAAGAGCAGTCTTGGCAGGACAAAATATGGTGGGTTTTTTAGAGTTCTCTGTGTAACACAAGTTCACATTATATTTAACTTTGAGAATATCAAACACGTTATTACTAATGGCAGCCTGTTGAGCTTTAGAATCATATAATACTTGCCAGGGACATCAAGGATATCTTTTTTATCTGGAAAGAGCACTAAATGCATTTAAATTTAAGAGAAGTAAATTGGTCAGAAAAACTTTAATGAGGTAGCGGTATGCCATTTGCTCTTCTTCCAGCAGCTGGAGCTAAGGTTTCATCGAGTTAAATACTTTGGGTACTGTTCTGCATTAGAACTGGCCTGCTGAGTGCCATATATGAGTGAACACATTATGTATTAGTGGTTCTATACCCTTTCCTACAAAAGCAGAATTTGGTCCAATATGTTTGGTAAACTGCAGATATTTTGCTGATTTGCAAGACATTAGGATTAAATGTCTACAGTTCCTTGTGTCTGAAAACCAGGCAAGAATGTTATACGTTCTACAGAGGAGCACCTTCAGTGATCAAAGCCATTTGCAGGCACTGGTAAATTAAAATTAAATGCCAGTTGTTAGTCTCCCACTTTTCCAAACAACAGGATTTCTAATATGAAATATCAGGCATCCTAAGACAAGCATTCCTCTTCATGGAGGTGAATGTAGATGTTTCCTAAAAGAAAATTATCTAGTTACTTTCCAGTTGGGGGACAGAGGTATTTGGGGCTTTTTGACAGTGTCTGTGGGTCTTACCCATTATGATAATCAAAATTCACCCATGCAAGGTGTTATGTAACAAGAGAAACAGATGTTGCTCCACAAGAATACTGCATACCTCAAGCATGACACAGCTCTGGTATAATTTGGGAGTGGTTCAGGAGTTGCTGCACAAACGTGGGCCAGAGAGACCTGCAGGAGGGAGCAGCAAAAGCTCAGCTAGTTAGCAAAATTTAACATTTACGTCCTCACAGCACTTTTCTCACACAAGCACAAGCTGGTGGGATTGTAGGTATTGCTGTAACTCATGAAGGAATGTAAGACAGAAAATATATTCAGCACCACATCAGTTATCTCACATGGTTGACCGACACTGTGCTCTGCACAGCTGGGAAGCCCAGAAGGTATGGAAATACCTCTCTGTGGGCAAGAACAAGTTTAAAAGCCCTGAAAGCACCCTGTTGGCTCAGATAATAAAATGAATGCTGAATATGATACTACAGAGTATCTATAATCTATAAGACTACTTTGCAGAAAGCTTACAGATCTTCTAAACTTAAGGAACTTGATGTATGAGTGCCCAGAGAAGCTTTTAAAAAAATCAACTTTCTGTTAAAATCCACCCAGTTAATGGAAACACAAAACATTTCTACAAATAAGGTTTTATTAAAAACTTAATTGTTTTCCAATGCAAACTTGTCATTCTCTCCTTCAAGAAAAAGAAATTTCGCTCTTTAAATATGAACAAACTTACACTGGTGTTTTAAACTACAAATAGTTTAAACCACTATGGGAAGGAATGTCATGCTTAAAGGCATGAAAACACTGGACTTCAAGGAGTGTAACAGGGCAAGGAAGAATGGAGAAAGCAGTCAGGGACTGGTCATATGTACATCTTTTCACTCAGGGAAATAAAATAGATAACAATCTGAAGGAAGATGAGTGAAGTACATTCCTGTATTGTCATTATGCTTTCAACTCAAAACTTCCCTTTTGATTCTGCATTGTAAGATTTCAAGAATTGCATGTAAAATATCTTCATTTTTTTGTTTTGTGTGTACTAGCACGACCTTTGTTTAGAGACCCATTTTCAATTCAGGAAAAATGACCAAGAGTTTTAAATTGCAAAGGGAGCTAGGGACAGTGCAAAAGGTCTGCTGTAAAGCACTGTATTGAAAACAAAACTATGTCCAAAACATTCATTGTGGGAGACAGCATTGGCCAAAATGAACTACATATTAACACACAAAAAAGATCTATTTTCCTCCCAATCTACATTTTAATAATCTAATAATCTGCATTTTAACCGATTTATTTTTCTGTCCTTACAAGAGTTTTCACTTTTAATGTGGACGTTGTCCAATGTGTTTGCTGGACTGAATGATGCCCAGTGAACAGTGCAAGTCTGCAGGAAACAAGCACTTACACACACTTTTGAAGTCTGCTTCAGCTGTGGGCTGACTATAGGTGCCTTTTCTGAGGAAGAGTCTGGTCTGCTTGCTGCTTTACAGAGCAAAGTGAAACTTCAACACTTCCTTAGCACCTTGGTGAGTTGTGTTATAAACACTGCTGACAGGAGAAGCAGGAGTGTCTTGGGCATTCTCACCTCAATGTGTCACTCACCATGCTCTGCACCACCTTAAGCCCTCTGTGGCTGGACAAACATATTGTTTTCACTTTCAGGTGCTGTAACAAAAGCCACAGCTAACAGCCACCTGGGGATGCTGACCCAGGGAGTCTTCCTTCTCTGCTCCTGCCCCAACAACAGCACTTGCAGGACATGCTTCAGCTGAACAGCAAATCCACAGGACCCTGGAAAGCTGCAGCCCTGTATAAACCCTTACATGGCCACTGTAAAGAAGCCCTGTTGTCCCCAAATATGTTTTTGCACCTGGTGTGAAGAAGGCAAATCCATGCACAGAACGGAGATATTTTATTTACAGACCTGTGCAGCAACAGGGGCTTGGTGGCAAATCCACAAAGCCAGCACCACAACTACCAGAACTTTTTCCTATTATACATTTTAGCAAAAATAAGAATTAATGTTCATTGGCTATGAATTGCATAGTTCTTTTATTAATCAGTAGTCTATCTTCTATAGGTTAAGAGAGTCCCTCACTTCTTATGTTAATTATTCTGCATACTCAGTCTTTCTTTTCTTTTGGGTCAATGGTTGCATCTCCTGCTGCTGGAATTATTTTTTTACCCAGTCATACCTGATTCAGCACAACTGCTGAGTTCCTTTGTTAGTTTCTTCCTTTTCTTGGGGATTCTGCCAGATGTCCTTGTGGCTTGTAAATTCTGCATTCTTTACGTCTACCATCAGTGGTAGATCCTTCTCCCCAAGCTCAGATCTCCCCTAGGTCTGAGATCATTGAAGCCTGCCAAGCCTTAATAAGGCAATTCTGCCAACAAGTAGTTTGTTTTTCTAACACCTGGACATCACTTACAGCTGTTTCAGGGATTAAATATTTTTTTGTTATTGAAAGTATAAAAATGTAATACATTAAAGAACATCACTTCCTGAATTTGTTTTACATTTTCCACATTTTGCAATAGTACATTCTTCTTCCAGGCTTTGTCAACCTCCCCTAGGTTTTTGTCAACTCCCCCTAGGTCTGAGCATTGAACCTTCCTCTAAGTCCTGACAGTGAAACACATTGGGTCCTAAACCATAACAAGGCCATTCTACTTACAAGTAATTGATCTCCTGAACACCTGGATAAACATGCCATATGATGAGTGAGCAACTGTTCATGGGTTGGGCACAAAGGGTTACAGTGACTGGGGTGCCGTCAAACTGGTGACCTGTCACTAGTAGGGTTCCACAGGTTTTCATCCTCGGCCCTGTGCTCTTCAACATCTTCATAACCAACCTGCACACAGGACTGGGAGACTCAGCAAACCTGCAGACAATACAAGACAGGGAAGAGCTGTTGACTCCCTCAGCGGCAGGGAGGCCCTGCAGAGAGACCTTGATGAATCAGAGAGCTGGGCAATCACCAACTGCATGGAGTTCAATAGAGAAAACTGCTGCACCTCGGATGGGGCGACCCTGGATGTCTGGAGAGATTGGGGAATGAGAAGCTGGAGAGCAGCACCATGGAAACTGCTGCAGGAGGTCCTGGTTGATGGTAAATTGGACATCAGTCAACAGTAGCCTGGCATCCTGTGGGGCCAACCATATCCTGGGGGTATCAGACCTAGCATTGCCAGCTGGGCAAGAGAGGGGAGTGTCCCACTCTGCTCTGGGCTGGGGCAGCCTCAGCTCCAGTGCTGAGGGCAGTTTGGGAGACCACAAAGTAAAAAAGATCTAAAACTACTGCGGTGTCCAAAGAAGGAACACAGAGATGGTGAAGGGCCTTGAGGTGAAGCCATATGAGGAGTGACTGAAGGCTTTTTGTCTGTTCAGCCAGACAAAAGAGACTGAGGAGACTGAGGGGAGACCCCACTGGGTCTGCAACTTCCCCACTGGAAAGGGAAGAGGAGGGGCAGGCCCTGATCTCTCCTCTGGTGTGACCAGTGACAGGACCCAAGGGAATGGCCTGAAGTTGTGTCAGGGAGGTTTAGTTTATCAGGAAAAGGTTCTTTCATTTTCTGAAGGTGTCTGGGCACTGGAACAGGCCCCCCAGGATAGTGGTCACAGCACCAGCCTGACAGAGTGCCAGAAGCATTTACAATGCTCTCAGGCATCAAGCAACTCTTGAGATGTCCTGTGCAGGACCAGGAGTTGAGACTCAATAATCCTGATGTGCCCCTTTCAATTCAGCTGATTCTGTGACTCTCTGCGATCAGTACAAAGAGACACAGCCGGACAGGTCGAGCAGAGCAGCTCTATTCCAGGGAGGCGGAGCCGTGCCGCCCCCAGAGCTGCCAGGACTCCCCTCCCTCCCTCCCTCACACCACCCCTCCATTCCCAATCCCGACCGCGGCCCTGCCCCTGCCTCTTGACGCCACGGACGCGACTTGTCGCGAGGTCGCGTGACGCGAGGGGGCGGTGACCTTCCCGCCCTCGCGCCAGGCGGATCGCGCCGCCATTGGCTGCGCCGGCGGAGCGATCGCGCTCTGATTGGCTGCTGGCACCACAGCGCTGTCGGGCGGGCCGCGGGTGAGCGCGGAGCCGGGGCGGCGGTGCGGCTGTGAGGTGAGCGCGCCTGTCCCGCCTTTCCGGCCCATCGCGGGACGGCCCCGGCGCGGCTGAGGTGGCGGCAGCTGGGCCCCTGGCAGCCGCTCGCTGCCACCCGAACCCGGCTGGGAGATGTGCGTGTGTGCGCGCTGCGGTGTTTCCTGCATCTTCCGTTCGGGTTTGAAAGATCCGCGCTGTTGTTGGCATCCGTGACCCCGTGCCTTGTTCTGCTGTCTGTGTGATTAGGCATCTTGCCGCAGGAGGGAAGCAAATGGATCCCTTGCCCAATCCCGCACCCCTGGCCTCGAAGCTACGGAATACGCTGGTTCGGTATCACAGCATCGCAGACAGCGAGTGGCGTGTGGCGAAGAAAACCGTGAGTGCTCTGGGCGGCTTCCCGGTTCGTGCTCCACAGGAAGCTGTGGGGCACCGGGGCGGCGGAAAGAGCCCCCTGTGCCGTGTCACACGGCTGAGAAACGCGTATTCGGGCCCTGCAGGACTCTAAACTGACAGGCTCTGTGAAACCATCCCTCTAGAGCATCTCTAGATGACAGGATGTGTTTTTCGTGTTCACAAACTCTGTCATTCCTTCTACCCATTTTCTGGGGTGTGTCTCATGGAAGAATCCTACCTGTGTAGGGTTATAGCCTTGACTTACAACAAATTGTGTTAACATTGATAGTATTGCAAGAAGCTAACGTGTACTTTAAACAAAGCAGACACAGCTTGCCAGCCTCTGGAATCTCTTGTCAATGAATAGTTCATCGTGCTTCAGTTTCCAAATGTCTTCCTCTTAAGAAATGAGATCATTCTCAAGGCTTCTTCTCATACTGTTTCACTTTTCTATTGTGTTTTAGAGACCACATATTATCCTAGGTTTCCTTCCATGAAAGGGAATACAGTTCCTGCTTTCTCTGAGCAGTTTGCTATCCTGTTCTTTTGAGCTGCCTGGATTTTTTGAGTCGTGCTTTAACAAGCTAATTAGCCTTTGCTTGTGCATCAGTTCTAGGCTGGGTGAATACTTTTTAGTACTGTCCTCCACAGAAAGTAGAAGTGTAGCTATATGATAGTGTGGTAAATTTCTGTCTTTGTCTTTTTTGTTACTGTGGTTTGAGTAGGGCTTTTATTTTTTCTTCCATCATGAAGCAGACATTGACGAGACAGAAGCAAGTGATCCAAATGTAACTTGATTATTTGCAAAATTAACAAATACTGTCTGGAGAAGCAAGAGCAGACCATCCAAGCCTTTCATTCTTGCAATACACCTATACCACCTCTGCCCTACTAAATGTTGTCTATTCCTATATTAGTATTTCTGTGTTTTTATATTAAGTACTACTGTATGCCTTTAAAAAGTTACCTGCATCCTTGTGTTTCAAATCCTCGGATTTTACCCCTCCCTCCAGCCCTTCCTTCCTCTCTCCTTTCTTTCCATTTTGGTATTGTGCCATGTAGAAGACATTCAGAGCTTTACCTACCACAAGGAGATGTGTTGTGCCCCAAAATACCTTAAATTATTCTGGATGTGGTACTTAGCAGTACTATTCTTTAGGATATTTGGTCCTCCGTGTGTATGTAATCATGATTCCAAATAAAGTGGTGGTACATGGTACTCTTTTCACACCACAATTCTGAGATTTTGTACAGAGATTCCATTTCACAGTTATGTAAAAATCAGAAGATACTGATTTCTCTATTTGCTCTGTGTAACTTTAAAATAAATAGACTACTGCTTGCAAGACTCTTCTAGTCAGGCGTCTAGAAGAGAAAGGTAATTGAACTTTCTTGTCTGTGCCTGCATCTCCTGCACTCTTCTGTTACTTGTGTTACAAGGGTGCAAGCAAACATTCTTCCTGTCTGAGTAGCATCCAGCTGTTGCCTTTCCAGTGGCCTTGCAGAAAAAAGGCTTTCCCTGCTAATGTTGTTCCATTATTCTGTGTATTTTCACAGTAAACTGGCTTGGTCTACCAAACCATACTTCTGCACAGACTTCAAGCATTTGACTCTGAGAAAGCCGATTTCTTATTTTTTTAAATAATAGAAAATGATAAGTAAAAGGTATCTGAAAAAGCTATAGAAAAGTGTACAGTGGTGCCCAGGTGAACCTCGGCTACTGATGAAGTTGGCTGCTTTTCTTCAAGAAAATTGAAGCACTTTCTGGTCTTCTTGTAATTGTGTGCAAGTGACAGTTAACATTGTATCTTATCTTTTCCTTCAGAAAGATGCAACTGTGTGGCGTAAACAATCGGAGGAATTCAGTGGATACCTGTAAGTTTGCCAGCACAAGAGATACATTTTTAAAGTTTCACAGATATGTTCTGTAGAATTTAGAAATGAAGACTGTGAATTCTACAGCCATCAGCTACACAGATGCTCCAGAGGGGAAGCTAAATGGCTAAACCTCTTGTGGCTGTATGAATCCTTTCTAGCTTTTAAGTTTGATATACTTTAGCATTGCATGTGTCTAGAACAACACCACAAGACTCCCATTGGCTGAAGTGGACAACAGCATCTGCCCAGAAATGATGGCTTGTAAAGCTCAGAATCAAGCCTGGGTTCAGTAGTCCTGAAGGGTCACTGGGATGTGCTGAGTCAATCCTTTGACTCTTGCATTGACTGTGCAACTTCAAAATACCAAGTGTGGGGTTATGAGAGGGTTTTATGGGGTTGTTTGTGTGATGTGAAGGCCCTGCCTGTGCAAGTTTCTGTCACTGGGTTCTGTTGGTTTCTGTAGGTTTAGGTAGAGAAATACTGGCCAGAAAGCAGCACTCTGAAGTCCTGTGAAAAGTCCTGTGAAAAGGTGGTGTTTAAAATGATCTCAAAGACTGATACACCCCATCGAATTTACATCTTGTTGAATCTGCAAGAGCTGATGGCCCCAGACACCAAGAGTTCCATGGGCCCACTGGCACCAGCAGGTTGTATAGTTGAGCCATTGCCAGGAGGGCAGTGACTGCTGTGTGCAGGTGAAGACCCCAGGGTGATTTATGCACCTGGAGAACTAAAGCACACTTTGAAGGGCTTTCCAGACCTGGAAGCCGCTGACATGTTCATGTTGTCCTCCAGTTCCAAGCATACAGCTGAGATGGGCTCCATACAGAGGATTATGAGTGAATATGGGTGAACTGCACAAGTAAAGAGGTGAATCTGTTGCTTGAGTATTTGCTATTAATAAGAACATCTTAATGAATATAAAGCATTTTGAAAACAATGATTTTGATGGATTCTTCTCCTTCAGGATTTGGAGGCCCAGTAACTCAAGAAAACAAAATCTCTGGTGTCTACTAAAATATCTAATTACAAATGAATATTCTGTAATGTCATATGCCAGATTGTTTTATTCGGTAATCATATGACACTAAAGCAGAATGAAGTTTCTCCTTAGCTTGGTTCTATGCCTCTGTTATTATCTGCTCTAATCCAAGAGGAGTAAAGAGAACTAGCTCTCCATGAACAAAGCAGAACGAACCCAGAAACATTCGAATATTCCCCAAAACTTGGTTAAAACCAAACAAGGCTAGATGTTGACACTGAAAAACTGATGCATTTTATTTAATAATAAAAGAGGTAAAGAAAAAGAAGGAAGGGAGGGAGGTGTGTTTGGGGGGACAGGGAGAATGACAGAGGCAGGTTAAGTAGAAACATTACCTCTCTGTGCATCCCAATGATGTCTCATTGCTCCCCTCAGTCTAGTCTTCTTGGTGGTGAGGGTCCCCATCCAGAAGTATAGAATCCCATGGATTAATGTATGTTTGGATAGGTAGGAATACCCAGGTGCCTCCCCTGAGGGGGGCATGTTTGACACTGTCCCTTGCATGACTCTGTGTCTGTTGCATCGTTTTGCACAACGTGCAGCACTGGTGCAGGGTCTGGGGACCTCTTTGGGGGGCTCTTTGATGGACCATGACACCCCCTCTGCTGTCCCTCTTGTGGATGTCCCTTAGATGTGGCTTTGCTGGGCTGAAGAGGCCCCACAACTGAGCTGGTGTGCACAGCAAAGGATAGGCTTTCACTGCCTCTGAGCAAAGGCTTTTTCACCACACATCCAAAACATCTTCTCTTCGCTCCTTTGGTGTGAGGGTCTCTTCCAGCCTGACAGCAGATAAGCCTGGGGCTGTGGCCTCCACCCTGAAGGTACTGGGCTTAATCCTGTTAAAGTTTTTTTCTCCCCTAGCCCAGATCTGAGTCACTTTATTTTATCTCAAATCAATTTGTAGTCCAGGGCCTCAGTCAGGAGGCCCATTTAGGTGCTTCTGTGAAGCTTTTGTTATGCAGTTTTGCTATAATAAACAAAAATCCTTCATAAAACTGTTTGAGCCATAAACCATAGTATTTCAGTCTCCAACATCCTGTTACTTCTGCTTTAAGAAAAATGTTTTTCTCATTATATTCCTGATCTCCTTGTTGTTTTAGGTTTGCTTACCTCTGGTGAACTCCCTTGCTTGCCCAGCAGTAGGAGTAAAATTACAAGTTGTTACAGTTCTTAAGGATAATTTTTATCCAAGGAAGGAATTTGCCATTTATAAAATATTAACTGTATAAAAAAAGACAAATTTTTTCAGAAGAGGATTTCTTGCAGAGAAGAATAGATGAAACACCCATAGGTGTTTTCCTGTACTGTTTCTCTTTTCAGTTGTCCACTGACTGTACTTCTTGGTATCAAGGTGTTAATGTAAGTGTACCATTGAAAATTAATGGAATATAAAGAATTTCTTCCTAAATGTAAACACATTTTCCTAGCTACAAAGCTCAAGGAGTGGTGGAAGATGCTACTAACAGAATAGTGGATCATATTCGCCCTGGACCTTACAGGCTAGACTGGGACAGCCTAATGACTTCAATGGACATCCTGGAAACATTTGAAGAGGTGAAGACTTGTTTAGATTCCTAAGAGAAATGTGTATTGATGAATACATGAATTTAACATTCATGAATTTAACATTCACGTAGAGCAGAGCAATTCCAACAGATATGAACCCTTTACAGCCTTCTTTTTTGCATGCACGAGCAACATTGTGCATACATTCTCTGTATGACCACAGATGAGGCTTTCTGGCAGCACAGTCCTGTTCTGAAGCTTGAAATTCATCTTTCCATTAATGCTAAAAATAAAGGAGTCAGTCACAATTCTCTTGGACCTAGGAGCTCTGGTAGCCTCTGATAAAATTCACATACAGAGGGCTACAGTATGATACTGTGTATGCCAAAGCCATTTCATACAGCTTGCTTTCTTTTGTTCCTCAACAAACAATAGTAATAATCCACACATATGGAAGTTGCAACCTCACCCTCTTCCTGAAGGGCTAACTTGTGTAGGATGGCTTTGTGCTGAGACACAAAATAATTCAATCTGATGCTCAGGACTTGATAAAAGAAAGGTAAGTTTTAAGCTGGTTACAAAACAGCTGGTAGCCTTCCTTTGGTTAATGCAGACATTCAATATGAATTCAAAACCCTCATCTGGGCACCTGGCTTGAACATGGATTGTCTTTTGTTCTGTCACTGAAGGAAGATTTATATGACAAGGTATTCTGTCTGTATAATATTTATACAGACTACTGTATTACAAGAAAGCCTGTTTTGAAGAACTGTTCACATTCTGTTTCATTTTTTGCTTAGTGGATTAAAAGTATTTGATAGAGTTAGTACCAAGAGATTCCTCTTGAAATTTGTTCATGGTCCTTTTAGACTTCCCAAGTGCTCCTTGGCAACTTAAGAGCCATGTGGCTTTCAGCTCTCAGACATGCCAGAGTTCCCTAGCTTTAGGTCTTTAAACTTTTATGGTGCCAGATATTCTCTACTCCCACAGCTTTCAGTTGTAGACCACAAGTCCTTACAACTTCCAGCTCTTAGGCTGAGAATGGCAGAGCCATTCAGACCTCACTGAATTTTCAGTGTAGTTGACTGAGGCTGTTACCTTTGTGAAAAACATTAGCTGCCTGCGAGCATTAAGTTTCTCTGTTTATTCATTATACTAAGATATATTTATTTTCTTGCCCTTGTAATTGTGTCACTCAACAAGAACTGCTGTGTGATGCGCTACACAACTGCTGGCCAGCTCTGGAACATCATAGCACCAAGGGAGTTTGTTGATTTCTCTTACACTACAAGCTACGAAGACGGGCTTCTAACATGCGGTAAGCCACCACTTGCCTCTTCTAAATTCTTATTTTGCAACAGTTCATTGGCTTAAGATTTGATTCAGATTTAGTAGTAGTAAACATTGCAAAAATGGTCTAAGATAGTCTTCAACAAATAAATTTAAAGTATTTTAAAAAATTTAGAGATGTTTTAACATTTTACATATTTAAAGAAGTGTACAAGTTAGTGGTTTACCCATGAACCATTCCTTTGTGCCAGGTTTCACTTATGTCAGCTGTGGAGCAGGAGTGTTAGAGACAAGTTGAGTCCTCCAGCTCAGGTTGTAGAGCAAACTGGTATGAGTAACAGCTTGCTTCTAGTAAATGGGAGAAACGTCCTCTTAACATTTGAATTTTTGCTTACCCTGCTTTCCTGTCTGTCACAGAGTTTGAATGAACAGCAAATTCCATGCATGAAAATACCCAGAACCTTGTAGTGTGTCTGTCACTACCACTAAATTCCTCAGCCAGAAGCTTATATACTTCAAATTTACTGCACATTAATTTTTTTTTTTATTTCTCTCAAAATAATTTCCGTTTTTAAAAATTTTATTTTCCTTAATTTTTCCTTTATTTTCCAGGTATAAGCCTGGACTATGGAGAGGTGAGACCAAACTTTGTCCGTGGATTCAATCACCCTTGCGGTTGGTTCTGTGTCCCTCTCAAGGACGCTCCTGGCCACAGTCTTTTGACAGGCTACATCCAGACTGAACTGCGAGGGATGCTACCACAGTCTGCAGTAGACACTGCCATGTCTAGTACACTGGCCAATTTCTACTCTGACCTCAAAAAGGCACTCAAAACATAGACAAACACTGACTTAAAAGCCCGTGCGTTCCTTGAAATCAGATTATGTTGTGTATCTTAGCGTAGGTTACCTAAATTGAGGTGAGTGACACTCTTCCTGAATGACACCTGAACCTTTGTGTTGAGGATCCAAACAGCTTTAGCAAGTGCTTTTTGGTGTGATGATTGGCATACATTCCCTGTGCACAGTGCAATATGCTTTTTGCTGCTTGGCACTCTGCAGCTTTGTGAGGAATAGCCTGAATCTCTAAACCCCCAGCTTCCTTAGTAGAAAGCACAAGATGTGTGTGTGGGCTTGGAAAATGCAGCATGAGCTCAGCTCCCTGCAGCAGTTTTGGGAGCCAGGTGCTCGAGATTTTGACAGTGCACATTGCTGTACAGGCAGCATCTCATTGAAGATGTAATTTAGTAAACTATATATATATATATATTGGTATTTACTTAAATTCTTTGATTTTTTTAAAGTTTGTTCAGCTGCATCTGTAATTTGTTTTTAAATTTGCTTTGATTTATCATATAGATATTATATAGCTAAGTTGTTAAATGATACTATTCATAAAAAAGCTATTTGTACTTGAGAACATAAGTAAGTGTTCATTTTTGGCATTTCTTTGATATTGTAACAGTAACTTACTTACTGTTGTATACAACAGTCTCAGTGCATAAAGAAATGCCCTTACAGCTGATCCGAAGCTCATTTAGGTCATCACATGTCTTTCCATTGTTTTTTGTTGTTTTTTGTTGGCTTTTTTTGTGGGCTTTTAATCACACAGTTGTCAAAATAGCAAACCTCTAATGGATCTTCAGTGATACTCTTTACTTCTAAGGACATTTTTACTTAAATGTGCATGTAATACATATGTGGGAATTTTGTTTAGTTGGGTTTTTGGGGGATTTTCTTTCTGTGTATGTTTCTTGAACTGCATACCCTGGAATAACAAAAGCAGCAGAAAGAGCCACTTCTTTGCTTCAGGGATAGGTGTTGCTGTAGCCACAGCACCACAGACTTGCCAGTGTTCTGGTGCTGTAGCGTGGTTCTGTTCTGCCCCTAGGTTGATCTGTGCAATAAATTAAGAACTTAAAATACAAGCAACTGAAGGCCAAAGCTCAAGCTGCAGAATTGCTCAGACCTGCTGAAGGATACAGGGTCTTTTTTAAAGATGCAAATTTCAAGGATATTCAGCAGTCCAGTGATTCTGATAGATATATAGCAGGGGCATTTAAGAAATAACTCTCTCCCTGCCAGGAACATGAATTCTCTTTAAAATCTGATGCTAAGCCTTTAATGTTGGTATGTGTCATTTGCTCAGGTGATGTAGTTATCCCTATGCTTTGCCAGTGCTCTCACAGTGGCAAGTTTAACTGTGTAGGAGTTAGGAAAAGTATCTTTGTTCCCTGATACTGTGGAGCCAATTGTATACATACAATCCAGGGACAGGTTTTAGACTCAGAAAAACAAAAATTCAGATCAAAGTCCCTTGCAATATTGGCTTTTTTGACACTGACCACTGTAGCTGAACTCTGAATAGTGAGGACTTCCCTTTCTTATTGCTCAGTCAGAGAGGTAGAAAAAACATAACACCAAATATAGTGGGGGCTTTTTCAACCTGCTTCATGTTTTAAGGTATTTAGTACTATTTAAGACAGTTAAAAACAATGCATCAAACAGCCTTTGGTCCTCATGGGCAGAAAATGTTAATTCCTTTTTAGGTTTTGTGTATTTCCCTTTAAACCCCTCAGTTAGTCTTCCCATTTTTTTTTCTACCTTCCTCATGTCTGCCAAACTACTGCAAGCTCACAAGGTGATCTTCTACCACCAAGGACACCAAGGAATTGCTGCCAATATTCTCTCATTTCTAGTACTGGTACAGAGGCAATTATGAAATCTTTGGCAGTGCTGCTCCGTGGGATGAATGGTGACATCACTGTAGAGGAAAGTGTTTGAAGTGTAGCCTATTTTTTCTTTCCAGTTACAAAGATTACATGTGCAGTGAATCTGCATATTCATGTCTTCTCTTTTTAGAGCTGCTGGGACTGACTAATGGAGGGATACAGATGTATGTAGAGAAAAATACTGCCTCTCTATGTAAAAAGCCGAGTTTAAATGTGCACAGAGGCACTTCAGTGCTGGAGAAATGGGTCAGAAGGAGCACAGGACACAGGAGGATGTTGGTACAGCACCAGGCACCACAGAAGTAATTGTTCCAAACACCCATTTTAGGGGCTCTGACACATACACAGTACTTATCCTTATTTAGTATCCAGTGAAATGTTTTTTTTCTGGTTTTAGTGAAGACAAACTGGTGAAGCACAGAGCAGCTGAAGAAAGAAGAACTTGAGCTAAAGTAAGAAAATTGCTAGTGCATTTTTATATACTGATACTTTTAATAAAATTTTAGCTATAGACTAGTACAGAACTAGGAGAAAGATGTCCAATTTAAATTGTATTTATTTGAACCTGAAATTTATATTATTTTTATATAGCTATAGATGGAGAGGGAGGAAGAGCTGTTCTTTAACCAGAGTACATCAGAACCAAGAAAGCCACAGTATCAGAGCCTCTTCTTCCACTGTTGCATTCTTCTCCTCTTGAGTTAGTGGACAATCTAGGTGGAGCCAAGAGGGTTAAAACTGGAAAGCAGTGGCAAGGACAAAGTGCAGGAGCCCATGTTTTGCCTATGCAGAAGTAATGGGAGACAAAGTAAATGCTTAGTATAGATTTCTATCACTGAGGAATACAGTTATCCAGAAGTGTCTTCTGAACAAATTGCCCAAGAACAGCAGAGATCTTATTTTGCTAGATAAATAGCATGTATATAGGCACATCAAAAATATTTTTATATGGCTAATATTTTTTTTAAGAAAGCCTTACTTTTTAAGAGGTATGGGCAATGTGACACTTTACTCTTTGGCACTTTAACTAGGTGATTTGTATATGTGTGGGAAAGGTTTTCATGCTTGGGTTTGTTCCTCATCTAAAAGCTCCAGCATTAAACTTTTCCTGTAGATGTGCAGAAGATGCAGAGATGGGGTTAAGCTCACTTTAGAGGCAAAGTACCACAGCTGGCTGGGAGGTGGACTGATACCTCAGAGAGATACCCTCTCTGAGGTGCACAGTCCCTGATCTTAAATTTGATGAATTTATAAATGTGAAACATGATGAACTTACAAAACACAGAGCGTATAATTTCTCCAGTAATTATAAGTAACCAGAACAGTTTTGATGGTGTGACCTGGTGGTTCAGCCTAGGAGGTGCACTGCTGTAAAAATAGCCCTAAGTCTAGTGAAACCAGTCAAGTTGTGCCTGTGTATGGAAAGTCAAAGTCTGTTTTAACAGTGAGTTTAACTTACTGTGGTCAGCATTTAAGGGATTGTATTTGTATCTTGAGTGCAACTGCAGAATAAATTAAAATAATGGATTCCAACAGGCTCATCATGTACCTTCTTCAATGCTTGTGCAGCCATATGTAGCATTTTTGGGGCGTTATGTCTGATGATGTAGTTAATCTTTAGCTGACTGGTGATCTCTAATGATACCAGTTTGTCTCCTTAAATTTGAAAGCCATAAAGCATTCACTTAGAAACTTGATTTAGACTGAGGATAAGGCCCAACTGAAATGTCTTGAAAACTGTACAAGTAGGATTTTCTCAAGGCTTCAGTCCTAAATATGTATATACAGGAGTTGTTTTGTTTTTTTATGATGACCCTATGATTGTTGTGGAAGAACTTTATTATTTTGGCTTACTATTTTTTACCTTTTTGTATGTTTAAGAAGTGATCTATTAACCATAAACATTAAGTTAATCTGAAACACATGAGCATATAGCACCTGGCAGAAGGCATATAGGTTATATATCAGGTGTATAAAACAAGCTGCAACATGTATATTGACTTGTATTTAATTAGCATCTACAGAAACAAAGAAAATCTCTGCATCTCCTCTAGACCCTTCCTTTGCTTGTCTTACAAAGCTTGCACAAAAGCAGTAGAGTTCTGTAGCATTTGACTTCAGTGGAAAAGCCTTGTAGCTGCCTTCTGTTGCTGAGAAAAGGAACTGTCACCTCTGAGATACAGCACACTCTTGCAGAGCATGTATCATGTCCTTCTGCAAAGTATGGTAGGGATAGGTATAGAAGCCACTTGGGATCTTTGGGAAATCCTTAAGGACATTAATTATTAGAATTGTTAAAACATTGATGTTCGAATCCATTTCGTGGTGAAAGATTTTAAACCTACACTAAGTATTAAATGTTCTCTAGAAAATAATATATCCTAAAGTCCTAAACTGCAGTTTATAATTCATTCAGCCTTTTCCAGTCCTCATTTTTTTCCAGACTCAGTTTTACAGTTCAAATAGGGACTGCTTATCATGGAGTTACATCATAACTTCTTACTACAGTAACTACCTGTAGTAACTTGTGAAAAATTATGCTTCCTTGGGATTTGCCACTGGCATGGAGAAAGCAGACACAGATGGTAACAGCATATGGCAGGAGATACCTGTGCATGTTTCACAGCTTACCCACATGGTAAGAAATGCCACATCTGGATTAAGAAGCTTCAGATACCATCATAATTCCCAGAACTGCCTTCTCCAGAGTTTCTTTCTTTAAAACAGTTCTTTCAGTGTGCCTAGACACTAGGATCTCAGAAGTTTTTCTTAGGTAACCTAAGTGGAACTCATAAGATCGGTTGCTGCCCAGAGTGAAACCAGAAACTGACCTTGTTCAAGCCCTCACTGCACCAGTTTGGCTCTGCCCTAGGATGCAAAGGAGTAGAGAGCACTTCCTGAGCTCTACCTGCACCTTGCTGACCTGCCTGCCATCACAGACACCTCTCTGAGGCAGTCTATAACCCTGGAGAGAAAATTGTTACGCCAAGATTCCCTGTCTCAGTGTGTCAAAGTGCTGCCTGCAATTTGGGTTCCAGTCGGGGAGCATTGCTACTGAGGTTGTTGCTGTTACTAATTCCATCTCCAGGGTGCACTGGGGAGGCAGGGCGGTGCTCATGCGGGTGCATTTCAGCAGCAGCAAACATGAGTTCAGCCAACCCATGTTACTTGAGTGCCATACAACCCCACCTTGTCTGTATGCCTGACAGGATTTCAAGCTCCTCACATTTTGAAGGGGGAAGGAAAGAAACCACAGCATGCTTGTTCACTGGAGCATAAGCCACGTCTCCACAAACCACCATTTCTTCTGTGTACAGGATTAAGGATGCAGCCTGTATGTGCACAGCCATATCTGCAGAACTTCATGGTCTTCCTGTCTCAATCAGCTATGTGAAAATAACATTTTGTATATGCTCAACATGGTCAAACCATCTTTCTGCTCTGCTGTGTGCCTCCCAGCCCACACCATGGGAATAAAGCTTCAGTGGAAACAAAATTGAGGAAATCTTAATGCCCACCACAAATACCAAAGAAGTTGTGAAGAGGGAAGAGACCCTTCATGTACTCTTTTTAATGTTAAATGAAAGTATAGAGATTTCGCCATGGATGTAAAAATAGTGAATCACTTCCCAAAACCACCTGCATCATTGGATATTTGAAACATAAAGTTTCTGGGATATGTACAACATTGAAGGAAACAAATGCTTGAACTGCTGAGAAGGATGTCATAACTACAAAAGCCCAGGGCTTTTTAAAGAAGAAGACTGTGCCAGGCGTCAATAGAAATGCAGGAATTTGGTAGTTATGAGGCAGGATCATTATGTTTAACTCCCCAACTATCCTAACTCATTAAAAGTTCCTCTGACTTACTAGTTTTTTCTTATTTCCCATTTCCTTATTTGTCTCAAGCTCATTATAAAACCAGTGTAATGTGCTGTGTGATGAGCTCCAACTCAGCTGTTTGATGTGCTGTTTTTAAGACGTGAGCCAAGAGCAAACAACCCTTGAGCTCCAGGGGGAGCTCAAAGCCAGCTTGATACTTGCCCTCTCCTTTAGTCTTGTCAACTTTTGCTTTTCCACTTTGTTATGGAGGTGACCAAGATGATTTCATGAAATTGCAGTACGAATGCATGCCTTGGGAAAAGATTCAGCAACATCAGTGGAAGTGCCAAATTGGACCTTTTTTTTCTTTTTTTACTGGAGCACTCTTGTCATGCAAAATGTCTCGTAGTGAGTATAATGACTTATTTCTTCCATTGCTCCAGGATGGAGAGATTTTGTAAAATCATCTCCCACAAAAGGGTATGAAGGGACTTTGCATTCAAGCAGTTGGCAAGATGAAGGAGTTTTAGATGGCAAGAATAGTAAGATGCACCAGTACCAAGCAAGAGGGAACACCATGAGTGACAGATATGGGCACAGAGCAGAGAAATAAAAAACAAAAAGTCCTTTCAACATGTCAGTCTTAAAATGTTCTCCATTCAGGTACCGTGTGCAGCTTTTGACAACATAACTCAAGACAAAGAATAGTCAACTAAAGGCAGAAAACTATATTCAAGCAAGAAGAAGACCTCTGGAGTAAAGGTTTGGTTTGTGCTGGTGAGAGAGGAGCATCCTGAATAAAGCAGCACATTAATAACCTTCGGATTAGGTTGCAGAAAATAAATCATTGTGATAGACAAACTGTTAACTGCAACAAAAAGACTTGGGACTTTGTAAAATACTTTCCAGTTAAAAGAGCAACAGAACTAGAGGTGGTAATTTCTGTACAAGGAGGTGGTAATTTCTTAAATGCTGGAAGTAATTAATAAAAAGGGATGCAAGCATTTATCTCACATAACCCACCCTGGGGCACAGGGGAAGCCTGGACAGCCCCTAGTTCTGTACCCACCACCAATAACAGATTTAGTTTGCTATTCAGTTGCTAACTTTTGAGAGAAGAGGAGTAGGGGAAATGTTGTGCCAAGCTGGAAATAAGTCCAGGCTTTGCAATATAAACAGTTAATACCCATGATGATTATTGTTCCTTGCTCTACATTAAGCATTAGCTGTCAGCAAGTAATAGATATAACCTTTTCTAGATTCACTAGTTTATTTAGCATCAGATCAGTCATGCAAGCCACTTACTAAAAATAGACATCCCAGCATCAAAGCATTTTCTCGTGGCTTATCAGCATTGCCATGCAAACACACAAGGAGGTACACTGGTCTCACATACAATACATGGAAATAACAAAATGGTCATTTTTTCTGGTTAAAATTTCTCTCTGGTTCACTTGCACAGTATCAAGAAAGTTATGTCACAAACAGGCTTAATCAGAAGCAAAGGGGTACAGTTAAACAGACTATAAACTGCTATTTAGTTGCTTACATCTTTGCTAGTAGAAGAAAACAGTGTTGACAGTACAGGATTTCGTACACATTAAGCAGTATAATGAGGAGTCAAGAACACAGGACATGTAGCTAATTTGAGATTCTGCTATATATATTTACAACATTCTTAATTTTTATTAGTAAGAGTCCAGCCTCCACTGCTCTGAGATAAACAAGCTTCTGTAACAGGCTTATAAAATACTTTGTGTTACTAGTCAAAGGCACCATTTTTCTGTTTGTCTTGGAAATATCAGCACATACCCTAAACATACAGCATACTGTGTTACTGAATTAACAAAAGCACAAAATTCCCTCTCTATGGTCCACATCCAACCAGGAGCCTCCAAACCAAAGCCAAGCCAGACACGCAGCCTTCATGTATCACATTTTTTCAGGTTAAAACCAGTTTAAGCTGATGACCTCCTTGCTGTGAGTGTGGAGCAGCCAGGCAGCCTCTGCTTGGTACCCCCTGGTCTTGTGAGGGTGTGGTGGTATAGCTCCTGGGGGCCAACAAATTCCTTCCCCCAGGCCAGACAGCCTCAGTGACTCTTCCCTCCTCCTCCTCCCTGACAAGCTGGACAAGTCACCACTGCTGATTTTTGTAGGAACATCCTGTTCATGGTGGACTTGGCAGTGCTGGGTTAACAGACTGCATGATCTTTCCTAAGCAATATTCCAAAGGTCTTTCCCAACCTGAATGGTTCTATGGTTCTATGACTAGGGTTCACCCTCCAACTCTACCATCTTTCCTTCTCCCTGAGCAACTAACCATTTCAGAGGTAATTTTCTCATGAGCATAGGCCTGTCAACACGGTGTATTCCAAAAAATAAAGCCAAAAAAACCCCAAAAAACAACCAGAGCCCAAAATGTCCTCTTATGGAACATGCTATTTAGTCAGAAGCATTAGAATGACATCTTAGGAGGATGTGGTGTGAGCAAGGAAGTGGTTCTTGCACTCAACAGCACGAAGGAACAGTTTGGGTTAGCTTTCAGAGTTAGTAGTTGTAAATGTCCTTGTTTCTAATTACTTTCAGTAAAAAGTTCTTAGTTTTTAATTATTGTCTCCCTGCAGCCAAGATGGTAATGATTTGAGCAGAGCAAACAAGGCACCTATCACTACACTGAAGGTAGTACATTGATGATGGCACCAGCCTTGGATGCTCTGCAGGGTCCTTGTCATTCCCAAGGAAAATACTTCTCAGGTAGGACACAGCTGCAGCAGGGTTCAGAGATATTTCAGAGATATTTTTGTCTAAATATACATACAGTCCACTTGCTCAGTTCCATGAAATGTTTCTTGACAAATTTCAGTTTTCCATAAAACACTACCTCAGACCCCAAAGCAAGCTGAGGGAGAGACAACTGGGGGACATATTAATAGTACAAACAATACAACTTTGATGTCTTACAAGTGAAGAGTAGGGTCAGTGGTGATGTTTTTCCATCTGGAAGAGGCTGTCACTGGATAGATACTTTTGCACTACTTCCATAAATATGGCTGGTCAGATGTCAGGAAAATAACAGAAATCAGCAAACTTAAAACCTTGAAATGTACATTTATAGACACTTTTCACTTTATCCTGTGTTGCCAGAAAGCTAAAAAGGGGCTCTTTTTGGTGTGTTCTGTTGCAGAGTTCTCTGGTGTGTTTGTTGTGGGCAATTATTGTACAGTGTTATTTGGGGATTTGTGTAGTGCTCATTCATGCAAATTTCACATATTTAAGTAACAACATCATGCTTTGGGATCTGAGGGCTGGTATGACAGTGCAGACCCCTGTGCACAGTTCTGGATGACTAAATATGATTCAGTGGCTCCTAGAACATACTGTCTCTGGGACAGATCACATGCCATTTGCAGCTGTAAATCAAACCAAATGGTTTGTCCTCAGCTTTCAAGTGACCAGAATAGCTGCTTTGAGTCATTCGACATAATAATTTCAATTAGAAGAGCTATCCCATATGCACCTGACACAGGGTGCAGTCCTGACACAGGAATTACAGTCCTTTTTCCTGTCAATGGTCTTTCCCTGTGTGTTCTTACACAGATGCAATTATTGGCTCCATAGTTTTGTATTGCAAAGCAGATCATTATTTACAGTTCCAGGCAACAAATGGGACCAAATGTTCCAAACTGACTTTGCAGCTTCTTGTGCCAGCACTGTAAATGGCAATGCTGCATAAAATATGATTCTAAGTATATCAACTCATATTATGTAAACAATACTAAGAAGGTCACTGGTCATAGCACACATGGTATTTTTCAGAGTTCCTAAGCCTGACGTCTTGTCTCTTTGGATTGACCTAAACAATGTCACCCACAGAAGGAAAAATGTGCTATTGACAAAAGAGCTTCCTGGTGCTGAGAAGCAGAATCTGGCATGGTCCTGTTCTCTTTGCTCTGAACTCCTCATCCTGCACCAACAGCAGCCCAGGTGCCTTCGTTTTCTATTGGGAAAATAACTGAAGAAGCTAAATTATTTTCTGTGTCTGTTTGGCATTTGTTGCACACCACTGAGCTATTTCTGTCAGCCAGGTATAGGCCTTTAAGAAAGGAATCTGAAGATGCCAGGAAACAGCATGAGTCTGGGAAATAGGGAAAGCAGAAATACCTCTCCGTGGGTATTAAATGGAAGTGACAAATCACACCAGGGTGTGGCTCACAGAGAAATACATGTATACTTGACAGATGAAACTCAGACTTCTGGGAGCACAAGTGCAGTAGTGAAACCATCTGATGGAACCAAGGGCCACAGGAGATTTGTCAGCGCAGAAAAGCTGAAACCTGCCAGGTGTCAGATGGCTCTTTACCCACTGACTGGCAGCTGACAGCTGTTCCTGGGTGCCCCTGGGCCAGGAAAAAAAAAAGATTAAGCACAGAGGGGAAAAATAACAATAAGCCATTTAGCCATTAATGTTAACACTTGTTCTTGAAGTCAGAGTTTCAAATTAAAAAAAAAAAAAACAAAAACTTTATTTTAAGCTTTGCTCTTTATGTATCTTCCTATAGGAGGAACTCTGTTCTACTTCATAGGGGCAAATATGTGCTGTTTAATATACCTTGGCCAATAAACATCTTCCTGATGTACAAATAAAGGGCCAGACTGTTCTCAGTCACACATGCTGTGGATGGAGCATCACTGGGCAGGTCCTCTGTACAGTTTGGGGCAGCTCCAACTCTTTGTGAAATGCTGTGCTTGTGCTGCCGTTCCTCTTCGACCCCTGTTCTGAGCACATGAAAGGAAGGCACTGAAATAATCTTCTTCCCAGCTCTGCCTTGGGAGGAACCAGAGCTGGGAAAAATTCTGTACCACTGTATTTGTTATATTTCATACCTTGATATGCATTACTGAATTTCATCCAGCAAGGATGTATGTATACCAAACTGTTAATCATTATGGTTTCAGGTCCAGCTGAGTAATGCTGGAAAGGGACAAAAGATGGCTTAAAAGGTTGCTCCAGCTTCTAATACAGACTTGGCTCTCAGAGATTGTTCATCAGTCTCTGCTTCTTATTTGACAAATTTATATATTTATGTGTTCAGATACATATTCAGATTTTAGTCTGTAATTTTACTGCTAAATTCAGAATTGGGCCACTTTAAGTATTCCATTGTATTCTTGTTTCTGTACTATGCCTATTCCTACAATATTTGAATGCCCTCCCATAATAACTAAGTTCATTACTGCATTCATGTTCTCTTTTCCACTCTGGAGAGGTAGAAGAGGATGTAAGTACTTGATGAATTTTTAGTTATATGCATGTATATTGTCCTATCCTTATATTAGTTTGAGGATTCACACTCTAAGGGATGCTCTTCACTGCCTCTCCCGGAATCTTCTGGATTACTGTGGCCAGAAATTTTACCTCCCAGATATAAAGAATCTGCAGTCTTGCCAATAGTAATTTATATATCTTCTGGAACTAAGATCATAAAGTCATGAAATCACAGAATGGGTAAGGCTGAAAATGACCATTGGCACTGTTATCTGGTCCCACCTCTCTGCTCAAGCCAGGTTTCCTAAAGCACATCACTCAGGATTGCGTCCAGGTTCTGGAATATCTGCAGTGGGGGAGACTCCACAGCCTCTCTGGGCAATCTGTCCCCATGTGTGGACACCTGCACAGCAAAGAAGTACTTCCTCATGTTCAGGAGGAACAGCCTGGACATCAGTTTCTGCCTGTTGCCTCTTGTCCTATTGCTCAGCACCATGGAGCAGAGCCTGGTCCATCCTCTTGGCACCCTTCTTTCAGGTATTCCCATATATTAACGAGGTTCTCTCTCAGTCATCCTTTCTTTAAGACTGAATGGGCCATGCTTCCTCAGCCTTTCCTCATAAGAGATCTGTTCCTGCCCTGTCATCATCTTTGTAACCCTCTACGAGACTTGCTTTTGTGTCTAGACCAGGCAAATATTTCACTCCTATTTTTGTCCTTTTTCCTTCCTTATTTTCTTCTTATTCTGCAATGCAGTAGATGGTTTTTGTTCAGCAAAACATGGTATTGTGCAGGGGCTTATCAGAGAATTTTATATATATTTCTTTATCCAAAAGAAGAATCAACTCTATGTTCCAACTGAACTATGATAGGGAATAAAGGATATTCTTTGAGCTGTTATTGTTTTATAAAGTAACTTTACAGATGTTCTGCCTGTCTCTTTGCCACCCTTGTTACCTTCAGGACTTGTGTGTATCCTGCCACTGGTCTCTAGGTCTAACTCTTTCTTGGTCAGCCTCTGATATTTTTTGTTACATGGATGCCATCCCTCCATAAGCTATGCTCTCATAATTTCTGAGCAACAAGGTTGGCTCAGCCACTCAGAAATTAGTTCTTCTCCAGGAGAAACAGCCTCTGCACAAGGCACTGTGCTGATGCTTGTGTCTGTTATTCTGTAAGTAGGCAATTTGCAGGACGCTGTGCAAAGATCTGCTGGGATTCCTCTATCCCACACTTTCATATGCTGCTCTTAAAACCCCAGAGATGACCCAGCACGTGTGCAGGAGCTGAGGGACATTTATCTAGAAACAAGGGTTTATTTTCCAGAGTCCTGCTGCATTTGCTGCTTGTCAGATATTGCTTTCCTTCTGCTGAGTTGGACACTAACAACTCCCAGTATTAATTTTTCCTTTCCTTGCTGCTGGGCAGCAGAAAATATGGTGTTGTCTTCACTTCTCCCATGGCTGCTGGCTGTGTCTGTGTTCCATTTGCAGTGTGAGTTGCAGGAGAAGGTGATTCATTTGGAAGGTGTAGAGGCCTAGCTGCCAGTGAGCCACAGCCTCCTGCAGCCTGGGCCTCCCTGCTGGTCTGAGCCACTCCAAAAAACCTTTTGGTTAATGCTTTTATCCTGCTATGCTACCACACAGCTTTTCAGAGAATTTTGCTTTGTTCACGAAGACAAAGGGACTGCTGGGCAGTTTTTGTCATTCCACGCGTCCAACGGCCTGCTCATTTGTGGGGACAGAGTCCTAAGTACACTTCTTCTGAAGAACCTGTTATATCAAAAACTTTTGCATTGATGGTATGCTACATTCAGAAGTTTGATTACAGGGTGTCTGCCTCTTTTACAGTATGTTTGCACACTGTAAAGTACAAACTTCAGCCAACAAACCAGTACCAGGCTCACACAGTGCAATTTACTGTGTCATCCACAAAACTGCAAGCAAAAGTGTTTGAAACCACAGGAAATCTGTTCTATTTTGGAGGGAATCTTTCTGAACCTGAGAAAACCCCTGCTGTGATGCAAAGACAGGACTTCCTTAGACATTTAACAGGCATCTGATCATCATCTTAGCTCTAAAATACTAGACTACAATAGGCTAGTGCTGCAATCTGCTTTTAAAAGAAAAGTTTTGCTAAGCTCAAATACTTCAGAAAGATTGGAAGGTTTCCCCTTTTGTACTTGAAGAACTTTGTTAATATCTTAAATATTCTAAAAAATTAAAGCTTAGGATTTCAACAGAAAGGAGTGCAAGTAACTTTCTACTTAGCATAACCACATATTTGGAAACATCTGTTCCATCTCCAGTAGTTTTCAAGTGTGTTCACATTTTTCAGCCACAGTAAGACACTGATGTTGCACATCCCTGTCTGCACTACAGCAGATGCCACTAGGATGTAATTTTTCAGATGAAGCCAGTGCAGGTAACACTCTTGTCTTCCAGTGCATGCATACACCTAAGTGCTGTCACAAATCAAATATATCATCCAGGCACAGTGCTTTACTGAGTCACATACTGGTAATCACAGACTCGGCACGGCCATCCTGATTGTTTAATGTTGAGTATGATAAGAGAAAACAAAGCAAAAAAACAACTGAAGCCCCAGAGCCTTTATGCATAAAACTGAGCTGCCTCTGAAGATCATGCTGTGACAGAGAGGTCTCCTGTTGGATGGCATCAGTTCATAGTTATGGTATGCCGTGGTACATCTTAGCAAAAACCACCATTGTGAATCAGCTGGGACCACTTTTCACCTCAACAAACGGTGCCTCAGATGAAGGAATTTATGCTTAAACTCTTACAGAAGTGCAGTTACTGCACAGCCAACTCCACTGCTGCAGGTTTGAAGCAATGATCCCAAATGAAAGACAAAATGATACAGAAATCCAGCCTCTCCCATCAAACTTCCCTACTGACTGAACTTGGGTGACTTCACCACAGAATGATGGCAGTGAAGTAGCTGAAAATTGCATTTTTCCTCCAGTGACCTCAAAGGAGGTAAGACAGCGAGTAGAAAGTGAGATAGGTAGATGTACCTATGATCTTCTCTAAAGTTATTAATCTTGCTGTACTTGTTTCCAAGGGAAAAATCTGTAAAAGTGTCATGTTGGCTTGCATACAGCTGCTATGGCCCCACCAGATGTTTCAGCTGACCTGAAAGTGTGTCCCTTGAAAACAGAATGGATGCTTGTACTTTAAATTTCAACTTCTTAGTCAGCAAAACTTTTTGTACAGAATTCTAAGAACTGGATAAAAAAATCTCAAGTATAATAGATTCATTAGCATGCATTTTCACACAGTAAAGACAGGATCTTTAATCCTCCTTTATATATTAATTTAGAGCACATTTTATTTATTAAATCTACCATACGAATAACATTGTATTACCCTTTAATTTCATCAGGAAATGTAGTTATTGAATGTTTTATTAAAGTCTTGGTTTTTCAGTATCTGCTATACTTTTTCAAGGCAAGTTGTGCAAGGCCTAACAACAACATGAAAACATTAAAGCAAAAGAGGAATGATGATTGTATTAGGATGGTAGGTAACTATCAGTATTAAAAAGTTTAACAAGCACAAATAACATTTTTGTACATCAGGTTCTTTTTGACATTTTTGTAATATATCAGTACAATAGTCACATGCTTTCAAATAGATAACAAACAAGTGTAAGTGGTCATACACACTGATGCACATTAGTTTTTCAGTTCCTATCAATCACATTCAACAAAAACATCAAGATAGCTGAAGGGCCTGACCCTACTTTTGCAAGCTGATTGATGCACACAGCTGCTAACTCAAGAATACCTCTGGGCAGATGCAAGATTGGTGCTGGTAGATAACTTTACAGGAGGGGTCCTTTGTTTGGAAAATGTGGGCTAATTACAAGTGGAAACTGCTCACTCATGAGGTTAAACTACACAGGAACCGACTAGATTATACTGCTTGCTCCTAGACCTTGCGTAAGAGTGTTTCCCGGAAGCAAAATCAGAAAGCTGTGGCATAGCTTCCTTCAAACACTTACAACTTATTTAAATGCAGATTATTCCCGTAGGGCCTATAAAATGTCTTCTAGCTGCAGATTAGAATTTTAATGAATAAATATAATGGTATGCCAAAAATTTGCATGTACTCTAATCCTTGTTAAGTCTATAGTTTTGTTTTGCTAACACTTGACCATGGAATGGAATGGCAGAAATCTGAGAAATTTTGGTTGTTATTAAAATACTGTATATAAACAGGAAAAGTCAGAATAAGGCATTCTCAATGCAAGCTTGCACAATATATGTTTTCATGCCCAGTGGAACTACCATTTCAATTTCTTCTCAGAAGTACTGGAATGTTTTTTTCTTGGGTTTTTTTTTTTTTTTTTTTTTGCATGTAAATCCCCAAATAACTTTTCAGTATTACAGATAAAATAAATTATTTCATGCATAAGTTTTAAAAGCATTGGTTTGATATTTCCTTCCGTTTTGTTTGCTGAAGGACTATGAATCTGGAAGGAAACAGTTCAAAGAAACTCAACATAGATAAGACACCTACTTCCATAAAACCAAACAAAACAGCATTTTGTTTCAAATGCCACCTAGGAACACTAGATAGATGAAGAATACATATTATGGTAGGTAGTTAGTAATCCCCATGTTTTCACCTGCCGGTATTACTGCAAATGACACTGTTTCCATGACATGCCTAGCGGTACAGTTTACTACTTCCATAAGCAGTCACATGCACTGAAGGTAGGATCACCAGGCAGGGCCTGTGGCGCCCCAAAGCAGAACCAGAGAGGCCAAGCTTACTGTCTCGCTGGGTGACAAGGTAGCTGGTGTATGAAATGACACATCTCTGCCGGCATCAGCAACATCCACCTAAGGCATTTCTTCTGGAACCGCTGCTGCTGCTGCTGCTGCTTCCTGAGTGGGTTTCTCCTCGGGCTGGGTGTCGTGGGTGCTGTGGCTGGGCTTGTGGCTGTCGTGGGCGCTGTGGGTGCTGGCGCTGCCGAGGCGCGTGGAGGCCACCACGGCTTTCACGGCGGCCTGAGAGAGAGAGGTCCAAGCAAACATTCCTTAGGGGGCACGGCCCGTCGGCACCGCGGCATCAGCACTGCCCCATAGGGAATGCCACTGCACCTAGTCTTCCTGGGAATGTCACCTGTGGAAACCTGCCTGGGCCTGGGCCAACTCAGAAGGCCGCCTGGGATACTGGGCTGAGGTTTAAAACTGCTGCTTTCACAAGGTTACCTGCTGGGTGACATGAACACAACTGGTTTTCAGCTATGCCTGCTGGTGTTTTGTGGGTTGTTTTTGGTTTTTTCTTTTTTTTGTTGTTTTTTGCTTCTTTTTTGTGTGTGGGGTTTTGGTTTTTTTTTTGTTTGTTTGGGTTTTTCAGTTTTGTTTTTGGGTTTTTTTTGGGGTTTTTGGTTTTGTTGTTTTTGGTGTTGTTTAGAAAATAGTTCAGGTGTCCCATGATTAGGCTGGATGGCAAAAAATAAAGTCATCACCTTCTGTCATAATAATAACAATAGTATTATCACTGATTATTCCATGAATATTTCAAGAAGGAACACAATATTTATCACTATTGCATATTCCAAGCACAATGTTGCAGACCACATGGGCAACTTCCTAAGTATAAATATATAAAAATACACACTGGGGGTAGGCTTTCATATCACATGAAATATCACAAAATGAAGACACACAGGAAGACAGTTATATTAGCCTTTGCCTTGAAGAGTTTTATTGCCTGAAAAAAACCCAGACATACAGAGGTGAAGAAAATAAATGCTAATTTCTGTGTGTGACAACTCAAGCTATTTTTGACTTGGCAGCTTTTGCTTAGATATTAAAGAAGTGGGTCTGCAGGAAGAGATGAAGAGCATAGCAAGTTTTGAGGATTCTTTGGAGAGGTAATCACACACATATTAAAAAAAAAAAAAACCTCACACAAAAAAGAAAGAAACAAAAAAACTTCCACAAAAAGTAAAAAGGAAAAAAGAATATGTTAATGAAAAACAGATAACATAAACACGGTCAATAAAAAAGAATCAGCTGCAACAGATAATGAAGAAATGCTATAATGTATAAACCAAAGAAAGTGGCAAGAATTTTGAGAGACTAGACCTCTTAAAGGAAAAACTACAGACATCCACATTAGCGATGAGAGGACTTTAGAAAACTGATTACAAACACAGCAAGCCACTCAATGGCTTGTCAATGGCAATATTATAATGTCTAAAGGTACTTTCCATGTAATTTACTCTCACAAGCAGTGTTGGATGTTTATGAAACAAATTCAACACAGCCAATGAGAAACCAAATCCTGACTGAGACCTTTAGAGTTACCCTTTAAAATTTGTCTACATAAAGAAAGCCTGCTGATGAACTTTTATATGTTGGGAAAGCGGAGATAATTATATATTATTCTTACTAAGAAAACAACAGCTAAAGTGTGTACTTACTACTTTAATGTCTGCTTTGGTTCTATTTTTTTTGGAATTGTCTAAAAATTTATTGTTTCTTTTACACATATATTTGTGGGAAATTATTAACTCTACAAGGACTGCTGCCTTCAATCAATCCTCTTCATAATTGGAGATTTGATAATTTTATCTTAACAGAGAAACACTGAAGAAATAAACTTAAAAAAAGCGATAGTCTGTAATCACAAAAGAATGAATTGATTTACTGTAGGGGTCTAAATAAAATAAACTTTAAAAAAATGTCTCTGGTATAAAAATATAAAGAAAAACAAAATCAAAACATCAATGTCTCTGAGAACTTTGTAAGTGACAAAACAAATTTCTTTACCCCGTGGAGATTCTCTGCAACAGTTCTCTACTAAAAAAAATACAGCAAAGACAGAGTTAAGGGTCAGTTTTTTGTGAATTGGTATCTCTATGGAATTCACTAAAGCTCTCAGGTTATTTTTTACTATTATTCCCCAGGGCTACAAGGGCAGCTTCACTGTAGCTGTTGCTAACAATTTCTGTGCTGAAGTACCCCTGGAATTATCTCCTGAGCAGATGGAAATCTTTAAAAACTGAAGAACAGTTTAGGGGAGAAGAAAGTTTCCTGATACTATGTCAGTCGGGTTCCCAGTTGCCTGCTGTTTGCACCTAAAGATGTTTCCCTGGTTTGTCCCATGGTAGATATGTAGACTGGATGGTAAAGGAGCATCCTGGGAACATTTTGTGGACCTACATATCTGAAATGCTGAATCTAGATCATACAGAAGGATGGCTTAAACCTCCTGCTTTGTGTTGATAGGTATGGGTAACTGAGGGAGGGTTAGGGGTCAAAACATGCTTTAATAGACTAATTTTCTTCTAGATTTATGGATACTCATTAAGAAATTACTCAGTATGTTGTTATTTCTGGTCAGGATTCTAAGGATGCACCAGCAATACAGATGGATGGACAGAAGCAAGAAAGGAAGAAGGGAAATAAAGATGAAAAGTAAGGACTTTGTGAGAGCTGTGTACATCCTCAGCAGTCCTATCTGTGTAGATAAAGTTTTCAATCAACTTCACACTTTTTATTTGTTTGGCTTCAGTCATTGACTAAATCAGCTTCAGACTTCTTCAATCTTCATCAGACATCTTAAATAAAAACCTTCCATAACATCATGGAATATTGTCCTCAAAAATGTACAAGGTTTCTGCAAGGCCACTAATTTAATTGCATGCTTTCATAGCCAAAACAGAGACTATGAGCAGAGACTTGCCTTAAGTTTACGCCGGGCATTGAATTCTTGAAGTTTCTTTTGTGCGTTGTCCATATGTGCAAAGTTTATTGCCTTCCCTGTGACCCATGGGTGCTGCAAAGCCTGTAGAGTGGTGAGGCGTTTCTTGGGGTCTAAAACAATCAACTTTTTAACCTGCATCACAAGCAAGAAATACAAAAGACTGTCAACCTTATTCTTCATTCAAATTTACCTAGTTTTGCATTTGGGGGTTCTGGTCTTCATTTGGGAAGCATCTTAGGTGAGACATTCTAAGAGACCAACAAGAATTTTCATTTGTGTTTTTGTAAGTATTCTACTTCTGGCATTTCTTGGTCCTCCATAAATAACATCTGATTAAGACAGCCACTAAGGGGGAAGAGAGAAGAGAAAGAATCAACTGGTTACCAACATATGAAGGGTATCACCAACGCAGATGACCTGTATCTATCATAGGCTCTTTCATGTCTGAATTGTCAGAAAAACCCTAAGAGAGTCTCAGAATCTCTAAGAAGTATCTCTGCTTTTGGATTTGGACTGGATTAGAAAGTTTAAATTATGCATATGCAGCTCATGCAGACTTGTTCCACTCAGTCCCTGTCAGGTACATCATAAAGGAAATGTTTCTTTCAGTTATTGTAAAACCTCATGTACACATAAAAAAAAGAACTGTACAAGTGTTTCTGTCTTAGCTCACTCTGAAACTAATGCTGTTTGCACCATTCCTTCTGTCATCAAAGCCAGCAAACCTGGACTTCTACAAACATGACTGTAAGATATTTTTGGGAAAAAGGCACTGCAAACATACCCCTGGGACTGGAGACAGTCCTGCTGGATACAGGGTGTGTCCAGTCAAGCGACATTCCATGGGTTTTATTATATCTCTGGACAAGTGGTGATTTAAAAAAAGAAAGGTGAGGATGGAGTAACAAAGTAAGCAGACTGCACTCTGCAGACCCACACTTACCCAGCTCTCCTGACTGCAGACCCTCTTGGAGTAGAGTGCATGGCACAGGGCTTCACTGCTCCTATGTGCCCAAGGCTGAGGGAAAACTTGCTTTAGGGTTCTCTGAAATCTCCCTACAAAGAGCTTTTAAAGAAAGTTGGTGCCCTGAAGTGCATGGAGGAGAACAGGCATTGTGGGTGTCTCCAAGGAAAATATTGAGTTAAGCAAATCACTTCAGCTGAACACTGAGCACTGAACAGCATGGGTTTTGAGAGTCATGGTCATCATCCTTATCTACAGTTTTGCTATGAAAAGTTCAAACCTGAAAGTTTGAGCTTCACTTTACTAAAACAGTATGGAGCAGTTAGGACAAAAGCTTTACCTGTAGACTGCTGTTTATCTGGCATTAAATTATACATTTTTTGCCTTAGAAAAATTTCACATCTCATAAAACAACAAAAAAGTACTTTGAACTTGTACAATCCTTCCATTTGAAATATCCTGAAGTACTTCACTAACATTAATGACATAGTATGTTTTGACACAGCTTGCATAAGAATATATGGAACTAAGCACTTGTGTTTTCAGTGCTAATGAAATAACTGAATTATGAAAAATATTATTGACAAAGTCAGACTCAAGCATACCTATCTTTGCAGATCAGTGTCTCCTGGATCCAAATTACTTTATCCAGTAATAAAAGAATATGGTGCAGATAGCATGCCAGCCCTTGCATTTTTCTAATGGAGCATATTTAAAAGTAGTCAATCTTTTCTCATCTACTAAAAAAAACTTGAATGTACACAAAAAGCATGTCAGAAAAAGCAGTGTGGGGGGGGGAAGTGTCATTCCTTTTTATATTCTTCCCCAAAATTCAGGCTTGAAAACTGCACAAAAAGAAGGGCTTGTTTCTACATTCCCCTGAAGGTGTGTTTGCCTGGAAAAGAGGAATGATGAAACACTTCGGATCTGTAAGAGCTTCACATGAGCACTGTGACAGCTGCCAACAATCTATGGTTTACTTCACAGAAGAACCTGAGTATCTATGTTTTGAGTGCAAAATCACAGCACCATAATAAAGCAAAGACAAGAGGAAACAACTATGATCAATTAATTAATGAATTATCCTGCCCCACCCCAAAATGGACTCTTTCTCAGTGACAAAAATACTAAATACAGCAAGTCTCATTTTTGCTTTACTTACTAAATCCTTGGCATTCAGAGACACATCATCCCACCAGGGGGACACAAAGTCATATTCACAGCTCAGGATCCTCTTAAACATATACTGATCTCCCCTTTCATCATAAAATGGTTCAAAGCCACAAAGTCTGAAAGGATAAAAAAGAAATTAATTTATCCAAGTTTAATTAGTCTTGTGTTGTTAGAAACTGTTCATGGTAGTACTTTTCCCTACTTTGTGTTCTGTAGATCACTTTGGGAAACCAGACTGGATGGACTCAAGAATCCCTAATTCTACAGAGCAGGGAGCAATGTGGCCAGATGTATTCTTAAGCACTGGGAAAGACTTTTCTAATAGTAATTTTTCTATTTTCACATGTGTTTAATTGGAACTATTAAAACAGGATCATGAAGCATTTATCAGAACCCCTATAACTCTTGCCAGAGGAATAGAAATTAGCTGAGGAAACTTCATCTTACACATGAAGTTACAAGTTTTTATATATCCAGTTAGGACTGTTTTTTATTCATGTATATTTTTTCATCCTATTAGCCACAACATGTAAAACCTTTGGTAAGTTTTCATGATCAGCCCTCATCTTTACTTAGGTAACCTACATACAATCTAGAAGTCTTGTGATCTCACTAAATGACTGCATTTATAAATATATTGAATAATACAGAGATCCACACAGCTGGCCCCAGGGAAAGCAGATTCATAAATGTGGTTTCCATTTGTATAATGTCTCTTTTTATCACTTAGTGAAGTGATAAAATCACCTTAATCATGCCTGCACACATAATCAGATTTTTGAAGTGAATTTCCTATTCAGCCAGTATGTGATGTGAGCTTAACAGAGAAAGTCTTTCTGCTCCTCTGCCTCCAGAAAATGCAACAAGCAGTTAAGATGATGAGAGGAAAACAAAAGCAGATCATAAAGATCAAGACAGCAACCAACTTAGAAAAGCCTTACATTTTAACCTGTTTCTGTTTTTTTAAATACAATGTGCTTACTGTTCTGAAAAAGGAGGCTGAGGTTCAAGGAAGAAATGTGGTTTTGGGAGTGGTACATAGCTGTGGGTGGAACAGCTGCATCACATTCCACTGCTGAAGAGGGGAAACACCTCATTGTAGGCACATTCTGAGCACGTTATTTTTCCAAGTCTGGCAGAGACGTATTAAAACACAAGGATCCAGCCTCCAAACCTTGTGCTTCAGGAGGTGGTGGCCAGCCAGAGCCCCTCTGCTGCTCTCCTCCTGTTTGCTGCCTCTCCCATCAGCATTTCTGGACTTGCAGCAGGTCCCTGCTGTTCCCATGGAACACCCCTGAGCAGTGCCCCTCACTGACTCAGCCCGAACTGCCTTTTGGATCCCAGTAACCTATGATAGTAAGAACCTCCTTAAACCTTGCTGTGACTGTGCTGGAAGCCTCCTAACTGAACTCACTACCATCATCTATTGTTCTCCTATTAACAATGTCAATAGATAGCTTCTAATTAAAAATTCACTTCAGCAGACAGATTTTTTTTTTTTTTGGCTACATGCCAAAATAGGCAAGTAAACCTGGATATTTCAGATTAGATTAATTAAATCAGTGCAAGACTAGTGTGGCTGCACTTGATTTAATTTTATTTTGAAAGAACATTTTACTATTGTGATTCACTTTATATCAGTTGCCTACCAATAAAGGAAAAGTCAATGTAGACAGCTTAAAAAACAACTAAAAATGACCAGATGATGTTTTGTGTCCTTTTAAGCAACTTAGTAAAATAACACCTTTAATTAAATCCATGCAATTTCAACTACAGGCAAAGCTTCTGTATTTGTCAACCACTGTCTTCATCTCAAACATGCAGAAGGATTTCAAAGCTGCTTTAAGCACACAAAAGGACTGCTTCTCTTGACTTTTAAAACTATACTACATGTGGCTTCCCTTGAATTATGACAGTTATCACAAATAGGTCTTACTATAATTTGGCTCAGGAAAAACTTCTGTCAGAATATGTGCCAAAGTTTTTTTTGATCAAATAGCAAGTTCACTTTGGTTAATGACAAGATACAGTTTTATGCAGATCCTCTTTAACTCTTTAATGGCTGTTAACTCCTACATCCACTCCATTCTGGGGGGGCATACAGGAAATTTTTTTATTATATTTTTTTGACTCTATGTAAGTAGTTTTCCTATACTGAACTATAAGACTGAGACAGGCAACATTGTCCTCTGGGCTCCAGGATTAATGACTTAGTAATTTCACATGTACCTTTCTGGTCTCAGTTTCTAATCCATCAGACATAGATCAACAAAACTTTATACACAATAGGAGAGTTTTAAATGTGGAGTACTGTTAAAGCAAATGGACGAGACAGCCAGGTAGATTTTTGCCTGTCTTGTTCCTGTATATCAAATTGGATTTTGAGGTGGGAGTAGGACAGGATTAGACGGAGGAAGAATAGAAGAGTATCTATAGTCATGCAGCCCCATCCAGGGCAAGAACTCACACGCTCATATTTATGCACCTGCAGAGGTTTAGTGTGGCTTGGGAGCATCCCCTGAATAGCTGGAAGGTTTTGAGAAGCTGCATATAGAAAATGCCACTCCAGATATTCAGATAGGAATTGTATGGAGTTTGATTGGAGCTTACTTACACTTGAAAACAAGTTCTGCTTAAAAAAGGCTCTTAGTTTGAAATGCAACAGCTTCATTAAGCCTTGAGTAACTAGGAAAGGCCATAACTTAACCTAGGTGGCTTTTTAAAGGGGCAACAAAAGTCACCTCTCCAGTCTTGGGGGCCATCTTGCTGGCAAATTTCACATCTCTGAATGGAAACCTTAAAAGTTGCAAGAAATGAGCACCTGGCAGGCAATATCTGAGATGTGATCCTCAACACAAGGTCTGGATCTTAAACCAGACCTTGAGACAAAGATAGACACATTTAAAAAGGAGCAAATAACAAAATGGCAAATAGGAATATTGTAGCCTATTATTTACAGGTACCCAAAAAGAGACCTTTGAACTATTGGAGGCTTATGTGCAGAACAAAAGATGATTTTTTTCTGACATTACCATCAGAGTGTTTATATATCCTTACATGGACTTTTAGTATAAACCCTAGAGAATATAGTTATTTTCTTTGCAAAAGATGAAAAGAATTGTGTTATTGCACACTATACTTGCTGGACATAGCAAGTACCAGGGGAGGGACAATGGCCCACATGTATAAAACCCTCCATATCTTTAAGGCACTGTTGGGGGTTGGCTTGCTTTCTTTCTCACTTACAGATTTTTTTTTCCCCAAAAGTTGCTAGGAAACTAGCTACTGGGTCTTTATTGGTACTTAAAAAAACCCCAAAGTGTTAGGGGTCCCACTCCCACAGAGAAGAGTCCTGCTGAGCACCGGGACCTGGCTGCCCCAGGGTTTGTGCAGCAAAGCCTCTGTCCCATCCCTTCCTGTCGGGACTGAGCTGCCACCACCATGAGCTCCCTCAGCTTGAGGCCGAGCAGGCAGTCACTGGGTCCTGTTTCTGGTTCTTGTTAATGCCAGAGTTGTTGTTTTGTTTGCCTTATTATATGTACTAGTAAAGAACTGTTATTCCTATTCTCGTATCTTTTGCCTGAGAGCCCCTTGATTTCAAAAATATAATAATTTGAAGGGAGGGAGTTTACATTTTCCATTTCAAGGCTCCTACCTTCCTTAGCAGACATCTGTCTTTCAAACCAAGACAAGTAAATATGTAAAAGCTCATTTTCTTCCCATAAAAGGCATCCTAGAGGTATTGTATATAACTACACAAGTTGTCTTAGCAATGTCATTGCCAAGGGTCTAAATTCAGTCTTCCAATTATTCTCCCATAAAGAAGGGAGTCAATACATCATAGACTATTTTCCCTTCTCAGTAATCTTCCTTTGAAAAATTCATTCAATACAATAAAGTAATTACAATTCTTAGCAATTGAATCATGACTAGCCACAATAAGACTTAGACAAAAATGGCTATTTAAACACAAGTGTTTGGAACTTTTGGCCTATACTCGTTCACACTAATGGCATGATTCTGCACATATCTTGTTGCTGTGCAGGAAGAACTGTTATATTTATCAAATATTTAAACTGAGCATCCTCCTGTAGGATTTGACTTGCTTCAGTAAAGTTTGGAATATAGTAATTAAAGTTCAGGCTCTTATCTTCAATGGCACAGCTCACAGTGTCATGAAGTCCTGGGGGTGCTAAAAAGAGAACCTCTCTATAGCACTGTCTGCACTTACAGGATGTAGGTGATAATCCCCAAGGACCACATGTCCACTTCAGGGCCATAGGCACATCCCCGTAGTATCTCTGGTGCTGCAGAGGACAAAACACTTGTCAGTAAACACAAAAGCTGAGTGAAAAAATAACAGTCACAAAATCAATTAAAGTCCATGCACAGTTGTGTCTTTTGTAAAAAGTTGGCACTATCCATTTAAGCCCTTAATTAGGTAAATGATTCGCTTCACTGACCATAAAGCAAAAGAAGTCATGCCCAAGGTGAGCCAGAATAAAATGAGAAGTGTACTTTGGATTCAAATTGTTTTTAGTTTGTAAAAAGAACCACAGAAAGCTACAGCTGCACTGGAGCTACAATGTGACCAAGAAGGTGAATGCTTTAACTTCAGTATTTTGCTTAGTGTTTTTATAAATACATCAACAACAGAAATGGGGCCAATGAAAATCTCCATCCTTTACTGGAAGCAGAGGCAAGCACTGGAATGAAGGACGAGGAACAGGCTGAGGTACTTAATGCCTTCTTTGCCTCAGTCCTCAACAGCAAGGACTGTTTATCCTCTGGGAGCCAGCCCCTGAGCTGGCAGACAGGGACTGAGAGCAGAACAGACCCTGTGCAATCCAGGACAAGGGAGGCTGAGCCACAAGCCCATGGGACCATGTGGGATTCATCCTGGGGTGCTGAGGGAGCTGGAGAAGGAGCTTGTCAAGCTGCTCTGCATCACTGATCATCAGTCCTATCTAACTAGGAATGTCCCAGATGATTTGGAGGTTGGCTAATGTGATGTCCGTCCATAAGAAAGGGAGGAAAATGGATGCAGGGAAGTACAGGCCTGTGAGCCAGACTTCGGTGCCAGGGAAGATCATGGAGAAGATCATCTTGAATGTGATCACACGACACATACAGGACAGTGCAGGGGACCAGGTACAGCCTACAGGGGTTCAGGAATGGCACATCCTGCCTGACCATCCTGATCTCCTTTTATGAGCAGGTGATCCACCTGGCAGATGAGAGGAGAGCTGTGGATGTTGTCTATGGGAACTCCAGTAAAGCCTTTGGCACTGTCTCCCATGGCATTCTCCTGGAGATACTGGCTGCTCATGGCTTGGACAGGTGCTGTGTCACTGGGTGAAAAACTGTCTGAACATCTGGACCTGGGAGTGATGTGAATGGAGTTAAATCCAGCTGGTGGTGGATGTAACCCCAGTGGGGTGCCCCAGGGTTCAGTGTTGGGCCCAATTCTGCTTAATATCTTTATTTGTGATCTGGATGGGGAGATGGAGGGCACCCTCAGTCAGTTTGCAGATGACACTAAGTCAAGGGGCAACTAGGAAAGCTGTTCAGAGGGATGTGGAGAGGCTGGATCTGTGAAAGGCCAATGGCATGAGGTTCAGTGAGATTGAGTGTCAGTCCTGCCTTGGGCCAGAACAACCCCCTGCTACAGGCTGGGGTCAGGGTGGCTGGAAAACTGCTCAGCAGGAAAGGACCAGGTGTGCTGGTTGACAGTGGCTAAACATGAGCCAGCTGTGCCCAGGTGGCCAAGAAGCCCAAGGGCATCCTGGCAATAGTGGGGCAGTTACCATCCCCCCTGCGCTGGGGTCACACCTCAAATGTTGTGTCCAGTTTGAGGCCCCTCACAACCAGGAGGACCTTGAGGGGCTGGAGCGTGTCCAGAGAATGGCAATGAAACTGGTGAAGGTATAGACTTCGTAAATAAATACTAAGAGGAGCAGAGGGAGGTGTGAATGTTCAGCCTGGAGAAAAGGAGGCTCAGGGAGTCTCTACAACTACATGGACAGAGGTTGTAGTGGGGTGAGGATTGGCTTTCTCTCCCACGTAACAATGATGGGTCAAGAGAAAACAGCTCAAGCTTTACTAGGTGAGATTCAGGTTGGACATTAGGAAGGATTTTCTCACAGAAAGCATGGTTAAGCATTGGAACAAGCTGCCCAGGGAGATGGTGGAGTCATAATCCCTGGAGGTGTTCAAGAAATAACTGGACATGACCCTTAGTGCCATAGTTCAGTGAGCATGGTGGTGTTCAGTCAAAGGTTGGAAAACACCTCCAAGATTGTTAAGTCCATGGTTAAGTCAATGGTTCTATGAGACTGTTTATTTGGCACTATATTTCGGGCTTAATTTTGATATTCTGTTTTAGCTGGAAAGAAAGACAGACCATTTCAGAGATTTGCTTCTGCTGCAGTGAGGACCAGACAGAAAGACCAGGCAGTTTTTGGGGACTTCAGATCTGCAGCAGTAAAGAGGAGTCGATGTCTACCCAAGCAGCTTGATAAGCACAGCTTGAGGGCCCTGGTCCCTGGATCTGTGATGCACATGGGATAACTGCCACATTCCTGGAGCACAGTGGGCTGGCTGTACCTACGAACATCAGTGCAACCTCTTCCCCTCCCCACATTACACTTGCACAGCCATAAAGAGAATGGCTTTTGGTATTTTTTTTTTTCCAGATCGATTTCCAGAAGTTTTCTTTTGGTGAATGGATTTGTCCCACACATTGCTTTTAGTTTAGATGTTGCCTGTAACAGACTGATCATGAATCACCGCTTTGCACTGGGCTTCATTTTTTGTGCTGCTCTCAGAAATCACTGATGCTCTTCTTGTTAAGTTCATGGAAGGCACAACATTGCAGCAAACTAAGTTTTCTGTGACCACTTTCTTGCCTTCAGTCCTCTGCATCAATCTGCACATCCCAAGGACTGTAGATTGTCAAGTCTTGATGCCAAAGAATTCAGATTCCAGTTTTTGTTTTTGTTGCTGTGTCCTTTCTGGAGAAGCTGCCGATACATGGGTGAGCAGGATGTGGGAGCTGGCAGCCTGAAACCATCAATTATTCATAGTTTAATTTGGCATTTAAACAGTATTTCTCCTGGGTCTCCTCCAATTCTGGAAAGTAATGCTTGAATATTTTCCAGGACTTCTGCACGGTCAGTTAACTTGAGTTGTAAATCAAGGATTGCTATAGACACATGACTATAGGCATAAAGCTCCTTTCTTCCCTTCTCTGCAGAAATGTTCAGCCTCAATCCTTCCCACCAAGTCAACATAACTCTGAGGGCTCTTCTATGGGAATAAGCCTTATCCTATTTTTATAGTATATGAGGATGGGCATTAAAAGAGCTAAGCACTGACTACATTGGTAGTGTAACTGTCACAAGAGAAGAAAACCAGAACATTAATAGCTAATATATGAAATATAGTTTTATGAAACTAACTGGACTGGAATTAGGTGCTGCTCTAAAGCAGACTTGGCACATGTGTGTGCTTTGCAGGCAATGTCACACAAGGTAATGGACAATGACAATGTCACCTGAATTGCATTATCAGCTGTTCTATGAGGTAACAGAGTGATCTCGTGGTCTTCTCCAGTGTCCTCTTTCTGTTGACTTTACAGTTATAAAAGCAAATGTAAGTAAGAAAACAACATACCACAGTACCCTGGAGTTCCACAAACTGTCTTCATGGTCACATGATCTTCCACAATCTTGGAAAGTCCAAAGTCAGCTGTTAAGATGGTTTGGGAATATTAATGTTTGTACTCCCTGTAATAATGTGGGGTTTGTTTGTTGTATATGCAATTAAATAAACATTTATATGTTAAATGAAGGTATTGGCATTTCCAGAGGTAAGCACTGATTTAATGAATCTACCCAAGCTGCAATCTGGAAGCAAAATTTGCTGTACAAATGAGTATTCCTGGCTCCTGCTGGACAAAAATGTAGCTTGTATTTTATTCTGAAAACTGCACAAAGTCAGTACACTGTGAGGCCTAAGGGCATGCAAGCAGAGATCCAGATATATATTTTAGGTATATATTCAGTTTCTACTCTGTGAGTAACCCAATAAAATTATCAGAACTATTTTGGGTTGCTTTTTTAGTCAACAGTCATGTAGTCTCTGCAAGACAAAACCACAATATCAGCAGTATTTTGATAGAAGGCTTCTAGGGGCATAAAGACGGTGACAGAAGTACTGATCATCCTTTCTGCAATGTTCCACCCTGAATTACTATTCACAGAGCAAGGGCCTTCATGACAATACATACTGTACTTGTATGACTCCTTTACAAAAGTCATTGAATTGTTCACAACTCTTTTTTTTCACTGAGAATAAACTGAGCTTATTAAAATTCTGGTTTAGGTGACGAAAATCACCTTTGCATCAAAAGCAAAAAAAGACTTGATTTTGTTTCGTTGGACCAAATATAAAAGGGAATGTTTTGGCTCAAGATCAGGATAAAAATAGGTCACTTGTTCCTAAATGGCTATCCTTCTTGCATTATTATTTATCTAATTAGGAAAACAGTTTACTTTTATAAAAACAGCCACTAGTTCAAAACTGGATTTCAGTTTAAACACAGCAATGACTTCACCAGGAAGATGAATAATCCTACCATTTAGGAAATGCTTTAAAAGCCCAACACACTCTGGATGTCAAACCAAAGCCATTGGTGCTGCATTATTATCATATGATAATTACGCATATTATCAAATTTAGAGCCTTTCCAGGAAAGGTAAGTAGGGTAAGATATAAATTAAGATACCATCATTCTGAGAACTAAGATGTTCCTAGAAATTTATACTAAATTTCTTGAGGCCAGTTCATGGAAATTTGTCTCCAGAAACCCATGATGAACACCAGCCTGATGAACATGGAAAAAACTCATGCTCCTAAGGGAGCACCAGGTGGTATTTTCAAACCCTGAAGGGTGGCACAGGTGCTTCTTGTTGCTTAAGCAAAAACTAGGCATGTCCAAAATTTTTGGAGGTCATACCGTTTGGAGGTGTCTGCCACCTCCAACAGAACTGGCACAATACATTCCTGATCAGGACAGCCTTGTCCTTCCTCACCCCTCTGTGGTGCTGACCACGCTTCAGAGAGTTTTCCTGTGCTCTTTGCAAAAATCTCTCCATGTCCCTCAAATCTGCCTTCAAAACAGAAGCCAGCCTTACCCAATTATCTTTCTACCACTTATCTGCACATTTTAATTTTCACACCAATGTATCTTTCCTCTTAAAGTACTAGTTTAGCAGAAAAAAGGGGCATAGAAGTGGTGCACAGAACTTTATGCTGTTCTCATGATCCTTCTTTTTCTAAGTGTGTTAATCGCTGCCACGCTGGCACAATTTTGGCTATAAATTCTCCAAGCAAGGATTTAGTTTTGCATTGGTTTTGAAACCATCATGTGCAGCTGTGCTGCTGAAGTAACATGCTGTTCATTAAGCACTGGCTTCAAGCAGGGTGATTTTGAGGTGCATCAACTCTAATCAGTTATCACATATTACTGACTCGGAGGCGTCACACTTTTAGTGCTGCTCACCGATTTTTAATGGTGCATCTGGTGCTGGTGTTGCATAGAGTAGATTTTCTGGCTTCAAGTCTCGATGCACAATCCCATTTGCATGCAGATACTGAAAAAGAGAAAGTCAAAGCATGTAAGTGAGAATGGTCAAGCATGAGTTAACATCTCTCTAATTCTCTATTGCATTAGATTAATATATGCTCTGTGTGTGACACAGAGTTACTTCACCAATTTTCAGCAGCTCTTTTTTCTGCAAACTTGCTCAGTGAAGGATCCTTGGGCTCATACCGTAATCTGAACAGAAAAAATAAAATTTTGGAAGGCAAAGGTAACATCATGTTCATCTGGGAACAGAAACATCTCAGAAAGTATCCTTGAATTTTAATAGAGCAGTAACTCCTAAGAAGCAATCTAATAGATGATGAGATGCCAAAGTCTGGCTCAGAGGAAGGTTGTTTCTCCACATTATAACATTCTGAGAGATAGGAAAATGGGCACATAACTATTAAACAATTAAAGAGATGTATTTGAGTAGAAAGGATGTAGGTGTCTTGGGCCAACTACAAAATGCTTGCGGTCCCTCGGTGCAGACCTCTTACAAGTTTTAAAACCACTCAGTTGCAAAGCCCCAGAAATCCTTCTGTCTTGCCAAAGTACATGTAGTATATGTGAATTGATTCACCACTGAATTCCTGCCTTGCACTAATGGAAAGAAAAAATTCTAGAACATAAAGCTGCCATTTACTCTGCTATGAACAGAAATAGAAAAAAATTATAATATACAATATACTGATAGACAAAAAAAGGATAAACTAGTGACAGAAATTCTGTATTTCTTATTGATAAAATATTCACACAAAACTCTGAAGTCTTAGAAGATAAATGCTTAAGGGTAGAATCACATTATCTTATTCAAAAGTCTCATATTCTACATTTTAGCAGCATCTCTCTCAGCTGTGTTTTCACTACCAAAACCTCCCAGTGTCTGTGCATATTTATGTGGGAAATGATAAAAGATTGAATATTCATCTAGACCACACAGCTATAATGTGCACCTGAGTTAGAATCTGAGGTGAATTCTTGACTGTGTATCTCATTGGAATTTTAGTTCTTATAAATTACCAGTGATTAAGTAACATTAATGAGGAATACATTGCTCTGTCCTTGGGCATTGTTTTAGTGACACTGTGTGCTTTTCATGAGTATTTTTCTCCCAGTGCAATAAGTGTTCTCTATTGACTTTGCCTGTAATCCTAAAGTCACAGGATTTGTCATGATACAGCATTTAGAGATCAGCCAAAGACTCTCACCTTACTTCACAGTGAAATTTAAGTGTTTGTCCCAGCTGTATTCTACAGTGAGGTAACTATTCAATTATCCAAAGTAAAAACAGCCAACAACATGTGGAAACTGGTGGATTGTACACTACTACATCATTTAATGCAGCCACATCTGCATGGCTGCAAAAAATCATGTCCACCCTACATAAAAATCCATCTTCATCACGCCAGACGTAAGTGTAGCAAAGATGCTCCCACAGCACAGCAGTGGTGTGTTTGACATGCAGAGCTGAGAGTGGCACACAGGGAGCTGACCAAAAGCCATCAGACTGGGGTGGACAGAAAAATATGTTCATGTGCTGCAAATCAGTTTAGCTGCCTCTGCAAGAGTGAGAAGAATCAGATATTTCACAACCACTCGATGGAAAACAGACACTTCCAATTCAGCTGCACAAAAAAAATCCTTGACCAAATTTGTGCAGAGGAATTTTCCAGCCAAGTTTGCAGTCTTTTAGCAGGTCCTTTTTAACACATGCCCATAATCTTAAAAACATTTTATGCTGTGAGGCTGAAAACATAGAAATTTTCTTCTCTTTCCAGAAACACATTTTTGTAGGAGGGAATTTTGGGAAAAACTTCAGGAGAAGCTGTTCAACTTTTCCTCCATTATAAATCAAAAAACGAGACTGGCTTGTGGAGCTCCTTCTCAGACACAGTAAGAACTATAACTGAGAAAATCTGCTAACCACGCATGTGCCTCATGACTGACTGACTTTTTAAACAACTTGTATTGAACTTGGAGTGTGAACTGGATTTTTGCTGCAAACTTACAAAGACCCAAGAAGGAATATTTTCCTCCCCTGTTCAGCCTACCATTTGCATAAAACTCACACATGGGGGTGCCCAACAAATGAAAATTGCCTCAATAACTTTACCCATGCCTTTCAAAGATTGTCACTGCAATAATCTGAGCTCTCTCTCTTCCATGTGCTCTCATCACAACACCCGCACCTACTCCCTCTTCACCACACCTCCCCTTATCTTCCCAGCATCTAATTCAGAATTCCTGCCCAGACATAGTAACTCCTCTGACATCTCTCTGCAGCCCACAGAGGTCCTGCCCTGGTCACACCCTAAAATCAGTCCTTGCTGTTCTTGCCTCTCTCATCTACTGTTTCTCCTGCTTGACTTGTTTGCTGGGACAAGACATGCATATGGCCAGGGATGCTGCCAGGTCCTTCATTTAGCAGACCTACTGTTGGCAGGTTATATCTTCCATAATATGTTAGAATTCTTTGAGTTTTGCCAATAGGGTCAATAGTTTTGTTGTGAACTAGCAGACAGAAGGGCAACATGGATAAAAAGCTCCCTGAACCAACACAACAAAAAACCCCAGTGGTTTTATGGATATGGATATCCCATTCTCCATGGAAGTATCAGCTAGGCTCATAAGCCCCCAGCCCTCTGAAGGGATAGACAACTGGCTGAACTTCTGTAGAAGGTATCTGCATCCAAACAGCCTTGTTAATAAAGGTAAATAAGCAGATGTAGTAACCTCCTGTCCTCCAGCCTGAGCCCCCTGTCACTCACTGAGAGCATGTTCTGCTCCACAGTCCCCTTGCAACACTCATTTTCAGCACTGCTGAAAATCTTACTTAGTAGATACCCTGGGACTGACCTGTTTCCAAATTTTCTTCAGTCCAAATAGCTCTGCTCTCCATGTAGCATTAAAGCTCTTGGTATTTACAGGACTACTGCTTGGTCTTACATAAATATGAAAAGTGTTCTGAGCTAAAATCTCTTCGCTCAGAAACAAGTTTAGTTAAATTAGCATAATCCACTTTGTTTAACACTTATCTCAGTTTGTATCTGCTGTATTTTGATTGCTCTCAGCTTATTTCTTGTATATTGATTTTAATAAAAGTTATGTTCCTTTGCATAACTGAATACTTTCCCAGTTTGTAGTACAGAGTCGGGCACTGTGCACTTCCATTGTAAGACAGGTAGTCTGTGCTCTACTACTTATGTGCTATGTCTCTTAATGATTAAGTTATGTGATGAAATGAGAGGATTTGGGCCCAGGTATAAGGCCGTATCACTCACATTATGAACCTAGGCATTACTGAATTACATCACTTTCCCCACATAAAAGATATGGATAAGACTTGGAAAATATTTCTATGGCTGGATGTACAGTTTGTAAATGCACAGCACTGCAAAGCAGTTTAACATAGCATGCACATTAAAATATGATTATGTGTACTCTCACTGTAACTAAAATATTCAGTTTTCACTTTCTTCAGATTTTCAGTAGAGAATGCCAGCCAATAAGAAACCACGGAGACCTCTCAGGTAACCTCTTTCAGGGAGAAAAGTTTTATACAATAATTGAGTAGTACAATCTTTTTACTCTTTGATAAACTTTGAGGTCACACTTGTCATGACACTAGGCCATGCTGAGTCCGACATACAGGCTCTTCTCTGCAGAACTTGCTTAAAATGAGGCAGCCTTCATCTTGGCCTTTACTCCTAGGCCACACAATAGCAGCTCATGACTGAACGATTTCCATGAATATGACTGCAACAGAAAGACTTGTTTTTCTTTTTTTTTTTTCTTTCCATCTAAGCTTTTTTCGCAAAAAGCTCTCGCTTTGCTGCATGAAAGTTTCTTTTGTTCTTTGTTTTTTTGTTTACTAATTCAGGTACCTATCTAACTTGAAAGATTTTATGACAAAAGGACAAATGTAAACGGCTTAAAACACTGGCCCTATCCCTTAATTTTATTTATGGTACCCATTACACAGAAGTGTAGAAAAGTAGGGCTGTAATGAACCTGAATCATCCATTCCTCTCTATTCTCCCTGGCAGAATCAATTACACCTACAACAGTTGTTTTTGCAATTTATTCCTGCAGACCTCTGCTATTAGAGACTCTACAATTTCTCCAAGCAATTTATTACAGGGCTGTGCTTTCCTGACTGCTACAAAGTACTTCCCTGCAACTCACCTAGATTTTGACAAGAGCAGATGAAGCCCATTGCTTTATTTCCTATATATGGAAGAGGCAGAAAGTAGATTATCTCCTTTATTTGCAAGAGCCTTTTGAATACTTGTTACCATGTACACAATCATTCTTCTCTCTAAGACTGCAGGACTTTTGTTTGGTCAGTCTTTTCTAGATTTGTGGTCATTCTTGTTTTCTCCTACAGGAAAGTGTCAACTTGTACTAATGTATTTGAAAATGCAAAAATGCATTCCTGTAGTTGTGACCTGACAAACTTTATAGAATGTATTAATAAATGTATTTACCATTTTTTTCAACATATACCACTCCTATCTGCCTTTTGATCCAGTGTAACTTTCAAGACCTTTCTCTATTTTTTCTGCTGTTCTTGACTTTACAAAAAGGACATTGAATTTTAGCAAAGTTATTTTATTCCTAATCCCACTCTGCAATATACTTGCAGCTTTCTCCAATTTTATGGTGTACAGAATTTTTATAAGTGGACCTTCTATTCCATCATATGAGGTTACAAACAAAAAACACTAAAAATGCAGAGCAGGTAAGGCTTTTCCTGAACCTCCACTTTTGACCTTCAGATAGGCTGATACACATTCTCTCAGTAGAGACAACCAGTCTCTAAACAGCTTAAAATCACATAACCTTGATAATATTTTCCTAATTTATTGTAAGACTGTCAGATGAGTCAAGTACTGAAAGCTTTACTTATGTCAAGTAGGTACAATACTTTCTGCTTCTCTCCCACTAACAATGTCTCTTACCGTGCTTGAGAAAAAGTCAGACTGATCTGGCATGGCCTGATCTGAA